AACGCATGTTGCATCACGTATACGAGGCCGAAGCAACGTGTGGCCGCTGTGGGGTTGGAAGCTAATACTGGCTTGGTGGTCTTGCTGGGCACCGGTCTCAAGGACATGATGTTTGGGTTCGCAATAAGGAATGGATGACCATAAACCATATACTCTGGACAATTTAAAACGACGTCACCGATGTCACCCCGAAATAACGACCTAGCCTCAGAAATGAGCTCATCACCATACAAGGGAAACTGAGGTCTTCAGCGCGTTCAGAAGCAAGTTCCCTATTTTTCCAGCTTCTGTGTGGGCAGCTACGGTTGGAACATCGGTTTTAAGCGGCAAAGCCTGGACAAAACAGAAAGATCCTAGTTTGTCAGAATAGGAAAATGAGGTTTTCAGCGCGTTCAAAAGCAAGTTGCCTATTTTTCCAGCTTTTGTATGGGCAGTTACGGCTGGAACATCGGTTTTAAGCGGCAAAGCCTGGACAAAACAGAAAGATCCTAGTTTGTCAGAATAGGAAAATGAGGTTTTCAGCGTGTTCACAAGCAAGTTGCCTATTTTTCAAGCTTTTGTATGGGCAGTTACGGCTGGAAAAATCGGTTTTAGGCGGCAAAGCCCGGACAACACACAAAGATCCTAGTTTGTCAAAATAGGAAAACGCGTTTTTTGAAAGGTTTGGGAGTTGTTTTCTGATGAATACTAAGTTTGGGGGCCTCAAATTAAAGCAAAAATTGTCAAACAGGCTGTGCGAGCGTGGTTGTGGGCACCGGGGGCGGTTCCGGACCAGGGCGGGTTCGAGCCGTTTCAAGCCTCCCGGCGCCAAAGCCGGGCATTTGTGAGCTCGGGCGGTTTTTGGGGAAGACGGTCAACTCGAACAAAAACGGGAAGTTTTTGAGACTTAGGAATGCCAAGTACCTCACGCATACTTGATGTTTTTCACAGTGGGAAACTGAGGTTTTCAGCGCGTTCAAAAGCAAGTTGCCTATTTTTCCAGCTTTTGTATGGGCAGTTACGGCTGGAAAAATCGGTTTTAGGCGGCAAAGCTTGGACACACAGAAAGATCCTAGTTTATCAAACTAGGAAACTGTGGTCTTCAGCGCGTTCACAAGCAAGTTGCCTATTTTTCTAGAGTTTGTATGGGCAGCTACGGCTGGAAAAATAGGTTTTAAGCGGCAAAGCTTGGACAAACAAAACGTGGTGTTTATTTTACAGAACATACCCATGCAGCAAATTAAGAAATCAAAGCAGGTCCTGTTGTCGTATTAGGTCGACGTACATATTTTATTAATTCAGACGACGTCAATATTTCAGCGGTAAAATTATTCGAAATAAGCGACGACCTGCGAAATATTATAAATCGTGCAGATATATATACTGTACTATGTAATTTGACCATGGCATACCATGGCACACATGATTTGTGCTTATGTTATAACTACACAGTCACACAACGAATTTCCCATGCTATAAACTATGTATGCCAAATCATAAGTGCATCATAAGTTCAATTGAATTACCCTCTGGTAATTTGTTACATAGCTATTGAAAATGGCCCAGTCGAAATAGTGGATTTACCCATTGATAGCATGGTGATTTTCCAGTTCGCTATGTTAAATAACCAGAGGGTACATGTTTTCAGATGATTGCCATTGAACATAATAACCAGCACACATGATGCAGAAGCCCCGTTTGCTTCTGCTTGGTTCATCAACTGAGTCAGGAGGTGCCGGATGACGAGCTGGTGGAAGGCCAACGATCACTGGGGAACCGAGCTGTGGCTGATAAAAGCATCAAGCAATTCATTGGTGATTAGATAGAGTTATAGTGCATATATGTGTACACTTGTATAACATTGTATACATAATATTGTTTTTTTTATATGTATATATATATTAGTATAAATGTCCAACTATCTAAACCATCTAATGCATCATATATATATATATATTAATCTAACTATCCAAGTATCTAACTATCTAAATATCTAGCATGTGTGTAAATAAATGTATATCTACAATGTAAGGGATTGTCACATATGACATTTGAGATTATACAATATTGTACATGGTTTCTTTATCTGATATTGAGGGTTATTGCAATCCGTGACCTGGGAAATCCTCTATCGACACATTTTTTCCATCCGAGCCATGGCTACGAGACACTCCTGGGGAATACGAGTTTTGAGTGGGGAAAATCGGATCATTTATTTCAATAGGAACCGTGTTCTCAACACGTTGGCAAGTCGATCTCGATCGCGTCGCCCGTCGTAGCATGGCACCCAAGAAGAAAACGGATGCCGACGAGATCGACAAGATGATGAAAGTGAAACCTCCTCCCATCGTGACCCCAGAGCCAACGGACCACCTTGCAACGGCCACCACATCCAAGCCTGGCAGGGGGAGCGTCAGCGTTTCGAACAAGTTCGCCATGTGGACCGGCTGCCAGGAATGCCAGAGCCGACTGAGCTACGTCCCAGCCTTCGGAGCTCACGGCATGACGAGGAAGGCTGGGCCTCTGACAGTCGACACGGAGAGAGCCCTGGACAAGATCGCTCAGAACTAGCAGAAGAATTAGATTGCTTCATACTAAACATATGTCAATCTGTGGCTGGGGCTTAATTTTTGACCCATCCCACTGCACCCACCGGCCCTTGGGTTCATCCCCCTGCGCTCCTTCGGGCCGCCCTTCGGTGCGAGAAATACCAAGAGCATGGAGACATTTGAGAAGGCGCTTATATCTCATTCAAAAAACCGTCCTAACTTTGTTTCATGATATTAATATATATATATATAATATATATGAAATATTATGTAAATATAGAATTATTTAATTTATTCATATTATGTATATATGTATATATAATATACATATATATATATATATATGTATGGTGATTTAATTAATGAGCATCCCGGAGCCGACGCATTGCCGATCTAGGGGGCGAGTTGTGCCGGGATTTGCTCAGCAGGTAGATGATAGCCAGGAAGCCATCACAAAATTCATTTTTTTCTTGACAATATAATTTGCCCGGAACCTTTTGTGTGGGATTCCACCAGCAAAAACAAGAAATAGTAATTGAAATCGGGTGGTTGGCATATATCAAGTATGTGGGTTTGTTCGAAAATGGGGCACGGTAGATCCCAAAGCAACCCTTTGTTTCATGGCGCAAACCATGGTTTGCCTGGTTTGCCTGTGGGATTTGGGGGATTTGGGGAAGCTCATTTTCAGCCAAAGCTGTTTGGACACATTTGACTTGTTTTTTTTACTTGTTTTCTCATGTTTTGGGGAAATGATAGGGACCTCACTATAGCCGTCCTTACCTTGCATTATTGTTTATATCTGGGGAATGATTTCACAGATGGTTTTTAAGTCTGGTGTAGCAATTTGCCTAGACATGCCTAGACTATATATATTTGGCGATGTGTACACAAGAAGCCGTTTGTAGTTGATTCATGTCCCATGGTACCCCATGAAATCCCAGTCATGCTGAACCAGACTACATCCCAACGACCTGGGATGGGCGAACTAATCTGGTTTGGGAAATATGATAGCAATCCCTACTATTTGTGATGACAGTCCTCAATAAGCCAGGTATTTTATTATTTCCTTTAACAACCACTCAACCATCAGGAATAATCCCAGGTAGTTACTGGTTACTTCCGGTCATGCCAGTTCTGTATGGCCAGCCATGTACGTACCCATCCTCCCCAGATCCCCGTCTCTTGGTACTCAGACCCGGACATTTTTCCGACGAAAAACGTCACCTCAATGATGTACCCCAACCACTCTGAAAAAGCAGAAAGGGTTCATAGGCATAATTACCTGTAACTAGCGGATACTAGGGTTACATGCATTATGATTGGGTGAAAATTGCTGGACTGTTATGAAATATATATATAATATATATATAATATATATATATATAATATATATATATATATATATATATAGCGGAGTTTGAGCTGGTAGCAGGCCCAACACCAAGCTCCACAGCTTCCATAGGCAAGGGCAAGGGCAAAGGCGGCAAAGACGGCAAGGGCAAGGGCGGCAAAGACGGCACGGAGTATTACAACTTCGTGCCGCCGCAGATGTTGGTGGTTCCCCCGTGACTTGTCGACATCGGGGTTGATCTCCAACTAGCTGGGGGAAAGTTGGGTCCCATCATATCCCCCTCTTGGTCAATCAGACCCATATGGCATATGAACTTTGTTATTTAATGTTATAGAGTTATATATTCAATTTGGCTGTGTAATGTTTTTAAATATATATATATATAAATATGTACTATAGCGGACTACCACTTAGAATTTTATAAATTATTTGAATAAGATAGAATATGTTTTTTTAGCTGTTTTATTTGGTTGAGATAGCAGTTAGAATACCTCGTTTAATAATGCAGATAGAATATGAAAAAAAAACATGTCCGATCATTTCCGCAACAGTAGATAACCATTCTTTTGCAATACGTATCATCATGAATGCAGATAGAATATGCAAAATAACATTTCCGTAACAATAGATTACCATTATCATGCAATACGTCTCAGCAAAAACACTATTAAAATACAACATGTCCGATCATTTCCGCAACAGTAGATAACCACTATTTTGCAATACGTATCATCATGAATGCAGATAGAATATGCAAAATAACATTTCCGTAACAATAGATAACCATTATTTTGCAATATGTCTCAGCAAAAACACTATTAAAATACAACATGTCCGATCATTTCCGCAACAGTACATAGTAGATAACCACTATTTTGCAATACGTATCATCATGAATGCAGATAGAATATGCAAAATAACATTTCCGTAACAATAGATAACCATTATCATGCAATACGTCCTAGCAAAAACACTATTAAAATACAACATATCCGATCATTTCCGCAACAGTAGATAACCACTATTTTGCAATACGTATCATCATGAATGCAGATAGAATATGCAAAATAACATTTCCGTAACAATAGATACAGTAAATTACAGTAACCATTATCATGCAATACGTCTCAGCAAAAACAATATTAAAATACAACATGTCCAATCATTTCCGCAACAGTAGATAACCACTATTTTGCAATACATATCACCATGAATGCAGATAGAGTATGCAAAATAACATTTCCGAAACAATAGATAACCATTATTTTGCAATATTTCTCAGCAAAAACACTATTAACATGTCCGATCATTTCCGCAACAGTAGATAACCACTATTTTGCAATACGTATCACCATGAATGCAGATAGAATATGCAAAATAACATTTCCGTAGCAAGAGATAACCATTATCATGCAATACGTCTCAGCAAAAACACTATTAAAATATAACATGTCCGATCATTTCCGCAACAGTAGATAACCACTATTTTGCAATACGTATCATCATGATTGCAGGAAGAATATGCAAAATAACATGTCTGCAACAGTAGATAACCACTATTTTGCAATAATCCCTTCCCCCTAATACTAAACCTCTCCACCCTATTAATAAACAATTCAGCTAGTGTTTAACATTAGGGTGGTTTTTATTACTAGGGAACCCTATTAATAAAATTAAGCCCTTAATCATAAAAACTATTTTTTCCGATCTCAAAATCAATTAAATTTCCCTTTAAAACGCAATTGAAATATTGCCAAAAATTGGTTTTCGAAGCTTCCCCCTAATACTAAATTAAGACCTTTAATAATAAAAACGAATTTTTCCGATCTCAAAATCAATTAAATTTCCTTTTATAATGCAATTAAATTATTGCCAAAAATTGGATTTCGAAGCTTCCCCCTAATATTAAATTAAAACCTTTAATAATAAAAACTATTTTTTCCGATTTCAAAATCAATTAATTGTCCTTATATAATGCAATTAAACTATTGCCAATAATTGGATTTCGAAGCTTCCCCCTAATACTAAGTTAAAACCCTTAACAATAAAAATTACTTTACTTCGTGTGATCCCCACCATGACATTTATACATTTTCTTACTGGCAAATCTTCTGGCATTCTATCTGACATATCTTCTGACATTCTATTTGGCATTCTATCTGGAATATCTTCTGGCATATGATCTGGCATATCTTCTGGCATATCTTCTGGCATTCTATCTGGCAAATCTTCTGGCATTCTATCTGGCATATCTTCTGGCACTCTATCTGACATTTTATCTGGCATTCAATCTGGCATTCTATCTGGCATATCTTCTGGCATATATTCTGACACATCTTCTGGCATTCTATCTGACATATCTTCTGGCATATATTCTGACATATCTTCTGGCATATCTTCTGGCATATCTTCTGGCATATCTATCTGGCATATCTTCTGGCATATTTTCTGGCATTCTATCTGGCAAATTTTCTGGCATTCTATCTGGCATTCTATCTGGCATATCTTCTGGCATATTATCTGGCATTCTATCTGGCATATCTTCTGGCATATTATCTGGCATTCTATCTGGCATATCTTCTGGCATATCTTCTGGCATATCTTTGACATTCTTTCTGACATTCTTTCTAACTTTCTTCTGCACATTCTTTGTCCCATATCTTCCTACATGAGGTCCGGCAGGGAACACTTGGCGTGGATACTCGCGGTTGAGGTCCGGCAGGGAACACTGGGCGTGGATGGTCGTGGTTGAGGTCCGGCAGGGAACACTGGGCGGGGATGGTCGTGGTTGAGGGCCGGCAGGGAACACTGGGCGTGGATGGTCGTGGTTGAGGTCCGGCAGGGAACACTGGGCGTGGATGGTCGTGGTTGAGGTCCGACAGAGAACACTGTGGATCGCGAGTCGCAGTTGGACGAGGACGACGAGGACGACGAGGACGACGAGGACGACGAGGACGACAAGGACGACAAGGAGGACGAGGAGGAGGCAGGAGGCAGGAGGCGGCAGGAGGAGGAGGCAACTGACATAAAATCTAACAACCCTCACCTGGCAGGTGGGGAACTAGTTTGTTCGATTTCAAAATCAATTAATTGTCCTTATATAATGCAATTAAAATATTGCCAAAAATTGGATTTCGAAGCTTCCCCCTAATACTAAATTAAAAACCCTAATGTAAAAGAAATAAAAAAAATCGGACGGGCAATAATAAACACCCCGGGGTTAACTAGTTTTTAGTATTAGGGGGGAAAACCCACGAATGGTAGCTTTATTTTTTAATTGTTTTCTAAAGGGAATCAATTAAAATCAAATTTGCCAATCTGAAATTTTCTGAAATTGGAGATGGACCCTAGTTTTTAGTATTAGGGAGGTGTTTAGTAATAGGGCGAAAGGATTACGTATCACCATGAATGCAGATAGAATATGCAAAATCACATTTCCGTAACAATAGATAACCATTATCATGCAATACGTCTCAGCAAAAACACTATTAAAATACAACATTTCCGATCATTTCCGCAACAGTAGATAACCACTATTTTGCAATACGTATCATCATGAATGCAGATAGAATATGCAAAATAACATTTCCGTAACAATAGATAACCATTATCATGCAATACGTCTTAGCAAAAACACTATTAAAATACAACATGTCCGATCATTTCCGCAACAGTAGATAACCACTATTTTGCAATACGTATCACCATGAATGCAGATAGAATATGCAAAATAACATTTCCGTAACAATAGAATAACAATATGAATTACTTTTTCGGTTCCCTGTACAACAGTATATTGATATTTTTGGTGATAATGAATTTTAGGGTTATTCTAAGTGCATTCCATCCCAGCGAAAATCAAGATATCATTGTTTTTGGACATTTTTCCATATTCTAACTGCATTTTTCATATTCTAAGTGCTAGATTGCCTCATCTTAAAATTCAAATAAAATCAACGTTCGGAGCTACTATTTTTTTTATTTGTTTATTTAATAAATCTTATTTTTTCATATTATAAGTGCTGGTCCTCCACTGTATTTACAATATGTTTAATGTTGTATAACTATTCCCTTTCATCCTGTAAGTATACCCCAACTAGCCGTAACTAGCCCAAGAGATTGATGAACACAAAAAATCATACCAGGCCTCGTCCACTGCCAATGGAGAAAAGTTGGGACATACAAAAAATCATGCATTGGTTCGTTAGCCCAAAGATCTGGAACTTCTAGGAAAAGATCCAGTTTTGTGCGATTACAATGGATCATTAGTCTGAACATCCAGTGGCTTGGAGACAGGGAGGGAGCTGAGAGCTAAATGGGGTGCCAAGGAGCTACGAATGGAGTTTCCCAACCCCATCATATCAAAGGCTGTGCTCAGCTACAGCTACATCGTGTTTTTTTTAATCTTAGCAGGGAACGAGGGGACACCCCATGGGCTGAAACGACACATCTTCGGATGGCCCATGATGACCCAGTAATCTTTACCCACGCGTTGATTTCATTAATCCGAAATGTGACCCAGCTAGAATCACGAACCATGCTAGATGTTGGACCATATAGTCACATGCTAACAGCTCACTAAGAATTCACGGGCTAGGAAAGTTTCCTCTGCACTGCTTCCCTACCAAGGGCTTTTTGAAAAATTGTTGTTTCTTGCATATGTTCGGGTTTATAATGGTCTATATAAATGTCTATAACACATATAGCAACCAGGGTTTATGGTGGATATGCCTATGGCTACACGGGCTTTTATAAACCAACCAACGTACTGTAAGTGGAGCGGCCTTCATCATCGACCGTGTATCACCAGAATTAACCATCATTGTCACTCTACCATCATCATTGACAATTTTTAACCATGATTGACCATGATTATGAACCATGTTTAACCATCGCTACTGTAGCCGTTATTGTCCACCATCAGCCAAGTATTAACTATAGTATTAACCACTTTTTCCCCGTACTAACCACGCTTAAGCTGAAATGTTCTCCGGTAATCGAACATGACTTGCTAGAAATTTCACCAGCCATGTTTGGATGACCCAATCATCATGATATGCATTGATATCCCCCTCTTGTTGGTTATAGCCCCGATAAATAAATAAATAAATAAATATATATATATATATATATATATATTTGTATATATATATATATGTACCTTTATCTATATATATATATATCCCCATATATTCCCATTCTAACCCATGCTGAACCTGACCCAACTTCGGCAGTCCTCAGTCGTCGCGCCGTGAGGGCGGCCCCTCCGTTTGACGTGCCGCTGACGCTAGATCACCCCTTGCGACGCGCCGTGGAGTTTCAGGCCGCAGGGGGAGTTTCTGGCACGATTTTTGAGGTAAAAAGGTGAAAATAGGATCAAGGGGATGGAAAATATGGGACAATCACATAAAATAACGTGGTTGAATGAAACCCAAATTATGGGGGTCACATCCCCCCTTGGGATTTCCTCTATGGTTGGGGTGAACCCCCCAAATTCCAAGGGGGATGGGATTACACCCAAAATTGATCAAACCAACCAGCAGGATTCAACCAACCATGGGGATTTGAGCAACAGACATGGCGGCTCAACCAGCAAAACATTGTGATTTTCACCAACAAACATGGCGATTTGACCAAACAGGGCGAGTGTACCAACCAACCTGTTGATTTAGCAAGCTGAAAAAGTAATTTGGAAAGGGAGTGTGTCCAACAAATTGCCATTTCATAAGTGAGGAAACTTGTTTGATAAAGCACTTGATTGGAGTATAGTATGCAGAATGTGTTTTTTACAGAATTGTATTGTTGAGTAAGTGTGGGGCTTGGTGATATTGGTCCCCCAGTTAGTTTCAATACGCCATGCGGGATTTGCTCCTGGGAGTTGATAGGAGATTTAGCCCATCACTATGCAGTTGTCTCTGAGGCAATACTACCAATGTCCACACAGCAAGATGGGCATAGGTGTAGAGGAACTGGGTAAACCTTGGATATCCTTGAATGGTAGTTTAATATCTTGTTTTTCTTTTTTGGAATCTAAGATTTGCCACGGGTAAAGCTGAACATCTAAAATTGATGATCACCACTGTCACCATGATCAGAAGATCATTCATAAAGGTGTGTCACGAGTGATGGATTTTCCGGCCTTGCAACAATTAATCATTGTAGCTGGACTAGCTCACTCACACCTCACGCACTGCTTGATTTTTTTGCCAGCAGACCTTTTAAACATCACGGCGCAAATAGGCAAGCAATGTAGCGCCGCTTGCAGAAGAAGGTGAAAGCCGCTGAGTTGTTTGATGTGAGCCCAGTATTTCCACCCAAATTCCAGCGGAGAAGGGATGCGAATCGACACAAGCAGGGGGTGGAACATGATGTCACCACATATCGAAAGAACAAGACTGGAGCAGATGTTTCGAGATGCCTTCGGCAGGCTGCGACGCCCTCCTCGGAGTAGTGTCTTGAAAATTGCTTCAAGGTCAAATTGGCGTTTCCGCAGTGGTTTCCCCATTGAACTGACCAATAACTTGCACCGTTGAGCATAGCAAAGCCTCGCTTTGTGGTTTCGGCCATTTCTTCTTTTTTGATGCTTAATCCTATAACAAGACCGTTTCATATATTTGTGAAAAGCGTAGATCTCTATCTATATTTGTAAATCGATATCTCTTTTTCCATGTACCATATATATATATATATACATGTCTTCACATCTCTCTCTCTCTATATAGATGTCTGATGTTCACTAGAATCCACTAGAAATCATTATATGTTGCTTTCATATAATACATATATATATATATATGTATATACTTATTTATGTTGTATCTATATATCTATATGTCTATTTGTCTTTATCTATACATATATTTTTATGTGTTTATTGATTTATATTTATTTATTTATTTATTTACATATATATATATATATCATTTACATATATATATACATATATATATGCATATTTCTATATATCTATATCTTTATTTATATATATATATATATATATATCCTTTTTTAACTATTTGTACATATATATATATACATGCATACATGTCTATTAATTTACTTCTACATATATGTATCTGTTTAAATCTCTACATGTATATAATTATCTTTGTTTATTTCTATCAATATCTATCGATTCCCGTGTTTCTTTCAACATATGTCTAAATATATTTCTCTCTGACTCTCTCTCTCTCTCTATACGTATATATACATACATACAGTGTTTTATTTCTTTATAATATCGTATTTTTATTTCTATATACATATAAATATTTATATTGAATTTCTCTCTAAATTTACAAAATATCAATCTCTCTCTGTATGTATATATATATGTACAGTGTGTGGACGCATAGATTTTGAAAGCCTCAACTGTTGTGGTTTAAACCCTTGTATCGCCTGATCTGCCAGGTGGTGGAGTGTAGACAAGGACAGAACCCCAATGGCCGTTTCCAAAGGTGATTATCCCCTGGCTGGGAGGGAGCGATTCGGAGGTTTTTTCGGCACTTATATCAAGAGTTTCCAAACCACATGATAGTATGTTATATATAATAATGTAATAATATATATTCGGATGTTTTTTCGGCACTTATATATATATATAATAATGTTAATCAACTATGATTAACCAGTTGATAATGGTTATGGTTAGTTTGATTGATTGTTTTTTTTCTCTGGGGGTTGTAGTATTTGATGATGGCCATTGTCCCCTGGGCTGCCCCTGGCCCGGGCCCGGAGGCCCGTAGGCCCGGCCCGGGAGCCCGTAAGGCCCGTAAGCCCGTGGGCCCGTAGAGGCCCGTAGGCGTCAGGGCCCGGGCCCGCAGGTCCGGAGGCGGGCCCGTAAGCCCAGGGCCCGTAGGCCCGTAGGCCCGGCCCGTAGGGCCCGTAGGGCGCGTAGGTCCGTGGACCCTCAGAGGCCCGGAGGCGGGCCTGACCCGTTGGCCCGTAGAGGTCCGTAGGTAAGCCCTTAGAGGGACAGAACAGTATTTCATGGTAAGTAGCTGTCAACTTTTTTCAATGAGCTGTCCATGCTGAAGGTAAAAAGTTCTACGGAGAACATGTTGCAAAGCAGAACTGCAGAGGGGCAACGGTTTGCAGCGCACAGTTGCAAGCCACAGGGGCAAAGCTTTGAATAATTTGTATGTACCAGTAGTACCGCACAAGGCGGTGGCGGAAGTTTCAAAAATAGGAAACCTATAGGAGAGATTGGTTGTTGTGAATCAGAGATGGCAGAGCGAAGCCACTGCTGGACTAAAAGGCGATTGATCTCTCTCACTCTTGTCTACCTGTCTATCTATCTATCTATCTGTCTGTCTGTCTGTCTGTCTATCTGTCTATCTGTCTACCTGTCTATCTGTGGTGCAGTGTCATTCAGTGTAATGTAGTGTAGTGTAATGTAGTGTAATGTAGTGCAGCGTAGCGGAGTGTAGTGGAATGTAGTGTAGTCATTCGTTGAAACTGCCGCCGCCGCCTTGTGCGGCAGTACTGATCCATTGAGGGTAGCTTGCAAATTGGAAAGTCTTGTTCTCTAAGTCTTGTTTCCAAAGAAACAGAGTAAGAAAGTGCTCTCGTGACTTGTGACACGTTCATGTGCATGTCGATTGCGCAGGCTCACACAAAGTGTGGGTCCCTGTCGTCGGATCGGCCGTCCTCCTCAACATCATCATCCTCAACATCATTATCTTCCTCCTCCTCCTCCTGAACATCATCATTCTCATCATCATTATGCTCATCATCATCATCATCACCATCATCATCATCGTCATCGTAGCTTTTATTACACCAATTTATACCACATTCCAATAATATTTTATCAGTTGTAGGCTTTATGCTTGTAAAGTTCCGCATAAAAGTGCTCTCGTGACTTGTGACACGTTCATGTGCATTTCGATTGCGCAGGCTCACACAAAGTGTGGGTCCCTGTCGTCGGATCGGCCGTCCTCCTCAACATCATCATCCTCAACATCATTATTTTACTCCTCCTGAACATCATCATTCTCATCATCATCATCATCATCGTCATCATCATCATCATCATCACCATCATCATCAGCATCATCATCATCATCATCATCACCATCATCATCATCATCATCGTCATCGTTGTTCTCTCTTCTCGGGCTCCGTCCATGTCATGTCCGGACTGGGCCCTAGGCCCGTAGGCCCGGAGGCCCGGAGGCCCGTAGGCCCGGCCCGTGGGCCCGTAGGGGCCGTAGGCCCGTGGGCCCGTAGAGGCCCGGAGGTGGGTTGGTGAGCTAAGGGCGTAGTCGCGGCCCGTGGGCCTTCCGGGCCCTTACGGGCCCGGTCCGGAGGGCCCGTGGGCCCGGGGCTGTCCAGAGGACGCTTCTCTTGATGATTTGGATTTTTTTCTGACCCATAATTTACAGGATGCTTATCAACCAGTAAAATGGTATCGGATGGGATATGTTCATGGTTCTTATCACCATTCACTATTGTATGATATTTGATGATTGCAAATTTAGATCATAATGGTTGTGAATTATGCTGTGTGGAAGGCCAAATAAGCAACATGCTCTGTATCTAAATATCCATATATCTAAATCTTTACATATCCATTTATATATATATATATCCATGTCTGTATATGTATATTTACATTTGCATATTTATACATACATATATTTTTATGTATCGATATATTTGTATATATATATATATATGCATATGTATATATATATATTTATTTACAATTATGTTTATCTCCGTATATATATATATATATGAATATATATATGTGTATATGTATATATATATACATGTATATGTATATCTATCTATCTATCTATCTATCTATCTATATTTTTATTGTTGCAGTACTGTATGATGTTTTGACCTAGGGGCTCATGAAATTGGATGATTCCCGGTCGACGGTAACATCTGTAAACCTGACGGTCCAAGATCGTCAGCTGATGGTGGACCATGTTTTTTCGAGAAATGTGTCCCTGGCACAAGAAGAAAAAAAACATTCTAAACTATCAAAACATGTTGGTTTGGCACAGGATCAACCAGATTTTTTTTTATTTAGTGATTGTTTTTCTTTTCGATTGAACATTATCAAAGAAGAAAGAGCTGGTTGATAGTTTTATTTCCTTCCATTTGGGATCATGATTCCCACATTTTTTGTTTCAACTGGATGTAGGACATGGAAACCACAACCCCGCTTATCACATGGGACTTTGGTGCACACCACACATTCGGAAAGGAACGGCTTACACAAGACCTGTGGGGGGAAAAACAATGATCTTTCTGCTTGGTATGTTTGGTAAAAGAAACGATGATATGGATTTGTCGTGATTTGTCCCTTTTCTCTTTTATTGACTGAACGGGTAGTGGCAAAAATTGTTCTTTTGTGTTTCTGGATAGGCCTTGGTTCGCCAGGATCATATTTTACAAATATTCGCAAATTTTAGTTTTGGTAATAAATGGTGGTCGATATGTCATACCCAGTTTCCCTCCTATAAACCCATATAGTTGTGGAAAACCCGGTCTGCAATGTTTTTTTCAAATCACTTCCCTCCAGCCGACAGGATATCCTTTACCGTCTCTGGGAATTTGCGTGGCCATGGTCCGTGAATATCCATGGGACGCAAGCTGTCGCATGTTCTTGGTTGCTTGTCGGATGTTCGAGGGAATTGGTACATCAAACACCCGGATATCATATACTTCTGCCTTATACCAACACAAGGGTGTTTGAAGAATTGAACCGCGGACATCATCATCTCAGTATATAAAATAGATTTGTTGAAATATGTGTATGCGCGTTGTTTGCAAACGATTCTGGTTCTTGGAATATCAAAGTGACATAAAGTGGCGTCCTAGGGATAAGAATGCCTTTTTCGGCCTTGTGGTTGGTTTGTTTGCAGGTGCAAGGATTATTTCCTGTCTTGGTGACACCCATGCCTTTGATGTTGCGCGTTGCGCATGCAACTTGTCACATTTGAATAGCATGAGTCGTAGGTCAGAACTTGAGGCCAAGGGGACCACCCGTGGCATTTTAAGGTATGAAACCTTCGAGTTTTGACCCATATCCACCACAAAAAAACCAGAGAGGCTCATGAACTCATGAAGAACTAGCCGGTATTCCCACTCTCATTGGTTTTGTGCCAATTCGGTGGTTATGGGTATTTCCTGGTAGATATACTTCCCCATAGAAGTCCAGTCGTACCTTCTTAGGAAGTCTTTGGGGCATGATTTGGGGGCTGTCTCTTTGACCTTCTCAGGAGGTGTTTGGATCCGTAGGGCTTGATATGGTTGTATACTGGCGTGTCTGGGTATAGAAGAAACAGCGTGATACTAGGGTGCCATGACCTACCACCATACTTTGGTTAGATTAATTTAGACTATATATATATACCGGACTTTTGAATCACTTACTTGAACCATTTTGATACGTTTTCTGTTGGATAACCCATGATTGTTGGCAAACCTTTGACTGCATCATCAGTCTCGGAAGTCTCCCGAGATTATGGCTTAAGTCACCATGCTTGCATTTGCTGGAGGTGGTTTCTCATGTTCTAATTGCGTAATCCACCATTCAGGGAATCGTTTCTTCTTGTTTTTTTTGGGGGGGTGGCCATCTGAAGCAAATCAGGCGCAAGAACCCCTTCTTTTTGGTAATAAAATCAATTGCCTCCGGTAGATTTCCCCTTCAAACACAGCAATGATTGCAGGGGAAACTCTACAAGAAACCATAACATACCATAACTGGTTGGTGGTTTCAAACATTTAAGTTCTTAATGGGTAAATCCACGAACTAAATCACCATTTTCAATAGCAAAGCATTACCATTTTGGGTAGATTTATGTTTTTTGGTTGAGATCATGGTTTCAAACATTGTTTTAAATTTCCATTTCATATATGATATATGGGATGTCATCCTTCCCATTGACGAACTCATATTTTTCAAGATGGTTTTTTAACCACCAATTAGATAATCTCTAGACTAGACTGGCTGGTGGTTTCCAACACACCCCCTGTAAGATGACCATCCAACTAACATGACGTCCTTGCCATGAGTTGGATTAGTTTCAACTCAAGATGACTTTCAGGACCCTTGGAAACCAATGATAGCTAATTATGGAAAATCATCTTTTTTTAATAGGCGCATTATCGAACTAAATGAGTCATCTATATTACAGTAATTACACCATAGCAAACTGTTAAATCCCACTATTCTACAGCTTAAGTACCCACTAGTACAGGATATATCCTCATTCGAACACCTTTTAAATCCCATCCATTAATCTCTCATTGAACCTGCATCGATCTCCCATCAAACTCTGTTTACTGGGTCGATCTTGGTTAGATACCTTCAGCACTACAATATATTGCTATCACTGGTAAGATTGAGCCTAACCAGCCCAAAATTAGATGTTTGCCAGTATTTGGCAGGTATCAAAGATTCACCATGATTAATCACCATCTAATACCTGGCAAATCATCATTAATCACCAACTATCACCAACTAAGCACCATGATGTGCCAATTTTGCTGGAAGCATCTGGAAGCTCTTTATTTTGACAACGTCGCTGCTTCGCCATGTGCTCTATAGGTTGCCTTCGAGCTGGTTCCCGAGCTCTTGGTCGATACGGTGGTGCCAAGCTGTGCAGACTGTCAGGTCGGAGATGGGGAAACGTGATTAAACGTGTCCAACCATATGGGGTTCAAACGGGTTTCAAACGGGTTTCAAACGATAGGTAAGTTGGTTTTTGACTGCCAAACATCCTCAAATAACGGATAGTCCTATCACATTTCAATTTGACTAGATCGGATAAGCTGGTCTATAACCGTCAAATGGTGATGCAATCCGATATAGTCTGGATATATCTGGATATAATGGGGATAATCTGGATAAACTATAAGGACCTTACGTCGCCATGTTACTGGAATGACGGCTGGCATTGGGGGAATTGTCCCAGCATGGCCGAACTATTCAGTTTACAGCGATCTATGATGAATTAATGATTGTTTTTTTTGATTATTTTATCCAGATAGGTGAGTTGGTGTATAACTAGGCCAACGATAGTAGCTATAGTCAAACTGGGGTTTCAAACTGTTGGATTTATGGTGGATATATCATATGATATGATATATCATATCTCGATCTGTATAGATATAGACCTTACTCAGGGATCTTTTCCTGAACCTAATTTCCATCCCAATCCAACCAACATCATTGTTTCCAAAGATCCTTGCAGATCTACTTGTTGCTGAAGTACTCTTTGGCTTAACTATGACCTATCGCGTCCAACTTTGCTTTTGAATCACATGTTTTCCGTACTTCAAAAAGTGGGATGATGTGTTTCCAACTTTGCAGGTGGTGGCCGAACAGCCGGTTGAGAAACCAAACATGGGATGACCGAATGAGCCCCCGGATTTAAATTGACAACCACAGAGCACTCTGAAGATCGAAACTGACAACGCAATTTCCTGGTACTGTAGAAAATGCGTTTTGTTTTTTAATTCAGATGGTCATATGGTCATCTGAAGCTAAAGTATAGTTTCAACGGTTTCCACTGCCATTTCCAATCCGAAAATGGGGTGCCCCAGTGGTACCCCCCAATTTTGGTGAGTGATCACGATGTTCCCTTTTATGAAATTGCCAAAATTTTGGGTATATCCCAATCTTGGATATACCTACATGATATTGGTGGTTATGTATCCATATATTTCATTATGTCATTATTTGATGTTATATCATATATGGCCAAGTTATTGATGGTCATATTCCCATTTTGGTTGCTGCGAAGTTGATTCATATTTGGAGGTTTCTTAAGTCATGGGGGTTCCCCAAGTCACCATATAGCTTTCAGTAAATTTCAGTGGTCATTCCTGACTTGGAGGGGCCCCATGACAAAACGAAAACCTCCATTATTGACAATCATAAATCATAATTGGATCATTCTTATCATTACAATATATACTTATATGATCTTATATGTATATGTGTTTATATATATATATATAGCCACTATCAACCATGATTAACCATTCTAAACCATTATTATGTACAGTAACCATTATTCAAAGAGCTTGGCTTGTCACCGAATCAACCAAATGCCCCTGGCCGCAACGCTAGCCGCTAGTCCTTCTGCTTGGATGGCCAAGAAGTTCTGTGGATTGATCGTGATGATCGCGAGGTGCTGAGGTGCGGGAAAACGGCCATGGGGTGAGACAAGGGCTGACAAGGGGGTGCCGATTCAATGGTCTTGCATTTAGTGTGTTTAAGCACTTAAAAACTGGGTGTTTAATCACTTAGTTGGATGTTTGATCATCAAAACTGCGAAAACTTACATACTTCGATCGTCCTGAAACGAGGATATATGATGATATATGGCCAAACATATAGTGAATAACAGCCATTATGAGGCCCAAACATATAAACGCTATTAACGGTCAAATACTAAAGCAAGGTTTGTGCGGGGTATTTGATATTAGAGGGACAATCATTAACCCATTCCATTTTTTGGTATGTAATCATGTTCAGATTTTTTCAACCACGTCTCAACATGGTCGGCCATTTTGGATCATTCATAACTGGGGATCTTTGGAAATATATATATAATAAGGATATGATGTAATGTGGATGGATCAAACACCTAGTGTTTGGCTGATTCAACAACGATGTTCAAGCTCTTTTGCTGTGAACAGTATACCAGGCTTTTACCCATACGCCAGCGGTGTCCGGCACTCGTCGAGCCACAGGTGCAAGCGTGCGGACGTTCGGAAGGGCAGTTCTTCGGAGTTGTTTCAGTTGGAAGGCCGGCTCTGAGAGTGTGGATGATGTGAACCCAGGAGTGGTTTTCAATCGAAAAGTGGATGGTCATCCTTCCAGGGCCTTCCAAGGCATGGGATGACCAGCGGCCCCATAAGCCGTTTTTTCACGGAAGGCACTGGAACGGCAAGGTTTCTTCTGCAGCATCCATACTATGCCATAGGGTGAAGATCCGTAAAAGAACTATTGAACTGTTAGAACTGATATAGAAATCGGAATTTATATAAATATAGTCGAATGACGATGTTTCATGGTTGTTTTAGGCCCATTTCATGGAGATCAGCATTTAAGGGATCTACGGAAATCTACTGGCAGCTGTTTTAAATCTATGGCAATCCACAGTTCTTTTAAAAAACTCACTTCTTCCCTACCAGCTTGCGATTTTTGTCACTTCAGCTATTTTCGGGGATTCCATAGAGCAAGTCCCAAAAGATAGAGAATGAGGTGGAAAGTAGTTTTTTGGAGGAAAGCATCATCTATTAGTCTTTACCGTCCTGGAAATCATGGAAATACTTGACCCACTTATCCCCGTAGTCTACCATCAACGATCGGTAGTTGTCCTTGTAGACCTTTTTTCCTATGTTTTTTGCATGTGTGTGCATATATATTTATACATATATATATATAGAGTTTTGGGAGTGTTCTATCTCTTTGGTGGTTTTGTCCATATCATTCCATATTCGGCCATGGTCATTTGCATGTGGCCGATTTGGAGCTTTTGAAACACAGCTTTACCACCAACTAATCAATATCATGGGCAGGGTTTTTAGATGGCACGGATTGGGCGGCTACCAAGCAACAAGCCATCAAGCAACGCTGAACATTCATATGTTTGTGCCGTGGCAAACTGTAGCAAGCTCACTGACTGAGCAAGCCCCATAAATTATTATTATGTATCGAATAATGCACATGTGGAAATGCCAGCCAACCGAAACCCCAATTCAGTATTGAATGTGCTCAGTCTCGGGTGCCAAACATTGGGGGTATATCTTCGATATTAGGGGCATGGATGTTACTGAAAAGTACTGGAACAAGGTAAATAGGGTGTTGGCCAAAAACATATTAATAACAAAAAATAAAGAACATATATGCTTTGATTGTTATATATATATATATCATATCTTGGGAATGTATTTCACCACTGATTATGGCTTCTGATCTTCCCCGCAACCAATTCCGCCATGAATCAGGCACCACTCGAGTCACCAGCATCTTGACCGGTGCGTGTGAGGCAGAGAGGTAACCAATCCCAAGATTGGTGAGGATTTGCTAGGGAATGATGGATATTTGGCTTATGATAGTGAGCATATACTGATTATAATATATATATATATATAATTTTATGGTATTGCAGGTTTACAACTAGTTATCTACCAACTAATTATGTTTGTTGCACATGATATCATGTTAACCCCGGATGAATAAATTCAGAGCATGTTTCTAACCGATTTCGACACCAGCATAAGCGGATTAGTAAACTTAGTAAACGAAACAACACCTGAAAAGTGGATTCCAACCTTTTTTTTTCGCGGGGTATTACAGTACGATAGTATGGCCAATTTACTGACTTCTAGCATCATTCCAATAGATGAGAGTCACAACCCACCCTGGAAATACTCAACGTAAATGAATAGCTTAACAACCACCAAATGAATATTAACATGGTCACTCTCTAGATGATACAGGAGCGGCACTCGATATAGGTAGCCTTAGAGCTCTTCGTGATCAAGGGCTCAGCCAATAGGTCATAGAATCTTGGATTAGGTCGCTTGACAGTCCAGTTCACTTCACTACAGGTGGTGGCCCCGAAGTATCAGCAGATGCTTTACGGATTTATTCAAAAAAATGTTGGGGAGTTCAACGTGCACTTACTGTCAAATTATCCAATGGCACTGTCCATCGGCAAGCAGGTTGCTAAGGGCAGAACGTTTGTCTGGCAACAGGGCAAGACGTTTTCTGGTCCTGGACCACAAGAAGTGCAAGGTTTGGTGTTCGAAGGAGCATTGGTATATGCAGAGCAGCCATGTTCTCAGCGACCATCACAGGGTAACCAAAAACCCTAGCCCCGCAGAATGCGGGGCTAGGACTCAGTTCTGAAAAAAACCTTAGTATGAATGTATGAATCAGCTTTGAGATGTGATGCGAACTATCCAAAGACTTTGCAGAAAAAAAACGGAAAACATCTGAAAACACAAGTAATTATTCAGAAAAAATGCAATTCAGAAAAGTTAGATCTTCTCAGGATATTTGTTTAAATGTGTATTCGTTGTCAAGCAAAGTGCAGGTATATATGTACATATATGTACATATATATATATATATATGGAGGTTTTCAAAAATGATGGTATCCCTAAATCATCCATTTTGGTTGGCTTTTCCATTGTAAACCATCCATTTTGGGGTACCACCATTTTATGAAATTCCAATATATATATATATGCACATACACTGAAGGCCCTGTACCAGTTGTAAGTCAGTTGTAACCCTATTTATGGAATGATAATCCCATTTAAAACCATGTGTATCCATTTATAACAATTTAACACTGGTTAATTTCCTGAACTGTATGTACATGACATATGATGTTTAGGTCGCAAATAGTAATTTTGAAAATTAGGATTCACATTGTCTATATAGTGATGTGTAACGGCAATTGCAATTGCGCTTATGATTGTTTTATGATAATCAACTTTAAAATAACTAGCATAGTTCCATGTTAGCAGTAGATTCTGCATAATCATAACTATACATTAGCTACCCTCTGGTAATTTAAAATAGCTATTGAAAATGGCCCATAGAAATAGTTGATTTACCTAATAAATATTGTGATTTTCCATAGTTTTTTGTATGTTTACCAGTGTGTAAAACCACCATTTTCCTATGGTTTTCCTATGATTTTCCCATAAAACCACCATTTTCCATATTACACTAGTTATAGCCAACATGCGGCAAGGCATTGCCACGGCGAGCGACAAAATCCTGTGGCTGGGCAGCGACAAAATCCTGCGGGTGTTGAAACACGGTTGTTTTGTTTTTAGATCCATAGCAACTGATGGGTGTAGGTATGCAATCATTTATGTACATCCACAATACATATATATATATATATATATTATATCTATATATATATATATCTGTCTATGTATATATATATATATATAAATAATATATACATGTTTATTCTAGTATATACCCATAATGTGGTAAAACCAATATTGCACTGGCCGACACATATCTAATGGTTAGACGTCCAAGTGTACTTTGTTGCAATTCAGCATTTAGGATTAGATTCATCCCTTTCGTCAGGGAAAAGAAATGTAGGTCGTGGAAACTGACCCTCTTAATGGTTTCATTGAAAGCTATCCCAATATGTGGTCAATAACCATGGTCAGTTCACAAAGATAATTAGATAAATATTCAGGGAAGTCTAAGGGTATCCGCCCAAAAACATGTCAACCCATATCAACCCATGGAAGGGGATACTAGGGGTTTTTGAAGCTTCCATTATTGAGGGAGAGTACCCTTGAATGTTCATGAAAAAATGATGAGATGGTGGGCTCAACGTGGTTGAAACCTTGAAAATTGTAAGCATGTCATGCAAACATTTTCGGTGGACCATATGTTGGACATCTACAGTTATGGCCATTTATTTGCTATAACTTGTTATTTCAATGGGATTAGACATTCTATAAATAGGGTTTTGTTAGTATTTATAACTGGTATTTCGGACCATAACTGTACAAATACGTTTATCCCTGATCCCATGTTTGTCATTGGATATTGAGACGGAGACCAACACCTAAAAATACCCTCTGGTAAACATACAAAAAACTATGGAAAATCACCATTTTTAATGGAAAACTCACTATAAACGGGCCATGTTCAATAGGTATTTTGACATTACCCAGAGGGTAATGCCCATCTGAACGTTTGACTCGCAATAAGTGGGAAATTACTCCGAGAGATCACTGGCAATTTTATTAAGGGTCCCAATCATCCATCAATGGTGGATTGAAAAGCATTTTCTTTAGAGAAAATGGACCAAATTTACCAAAAGACAACTGCAGAAAAAGATATGAAAAGATATCATATATATAATATTACATTATATATATATATAATCATAGCTCTACTTTGCGGCGGCTGCCTTCCTTCCCAAGGTTGACCCGCGCCAAGAGTCACAGCGTGGAGGTCTTTGACTCTGGGGGCAACTGGCTGATGCGATTGGGAGATCACACCAGGCGGAAGATGGGGGGGTGATTCATGGGAGCTGTAAATTCACGTTAAGTATACGTATAGGTCTATATAGTTTGGTTATACATTATATAATCTATAAAGAATCATGTATGTATGTATATATATATATATGTTTTGTTGTGGGCTACTGTACACTGAGCATAATTGTGATTTTGTTACTAGTTACGTTTGAACAAACACGTTCTACTTCAAGCGTTTCTTCGAACTCCTGATTTTGTGGTAATGCTTGGAGCTGCCATGCCCTCTCTCGATGGGATTTTGATTTAGCCATCAAACATTGTCAGCGGAAAACATGGTAGTTTCAATCTGTTTAAATGGAACAAATGGGGATTTCATAAATTTCACGTGGCGATTTCAACACGTGTTTTTGGAGATGTTCGATCCATGGTGCTGGTATATATGCTAACATAAAAGGGGTGATGGGATCCATGGCACAGGATTGTTGCCGCAGTGCTTAACGGAACTTAGTTTAGGTTTATCAGTCTATTTGGGTTTCCCCTGTAAGCCCTGCTGAAACCTGAAAATACAGAAACTCCAAGTTGTGCTTTTGGGAATCGGCGCTCGAACATTCTGTTTTTCCGGCCTTTTCGGTTTTGGGATGGTTTTGGGTGTTTGGTTCGGGGACCCCAAGAGCTCTGTGACAAATTTGACACGGAATTCACATTAATTAAATTTCAAAGCCAGTGCGAGACCAGACTACAAACAACTGTTGTGCAACTTGCCCAATTCACCTGATGACTGTCCAATGACGACAGTGTTTTCTGCTTTCAGCTGCTTTCGGTTGCGAGTGCAGTTCGTTGTGAGCACTTTGCGTAAGAAAGAGGCAGGCTGCCTTTGCATTGTCACAGGCCTTTGGCTTGTCATTGTGGAGAACCAGCTGTTGACAAGCTAATTTTGTCCGAAAAGGTTGAACACCATTCGTAGTCAAGTTCCATAAAATTCCCATGTTTTTGTCATTTTCGACCTTTCTTTTCAACTTTGTAGTGCAGCAACTCCTTTCAAACTGGTTGAGCTCTTTGCTGCTCAAGTTCAAGCATCTCTCCTTTGCCTTCTGATCTGATTTTGATATGTTGGTGAGGGCTTGTGCTGCGGACAACGGCCCCATTCCGTTGAACCACCCCTGCCTGGCCAGCCTCACAGCGCAGCCAGCATCCTTCCTCGCCCATGGGGTGCCTGATGGGAATTCGACTTGACTCAAGCTCTGCATTGCTGGATGGATTGCTTTCCTGCTGGCAGCTTGTTTTTTGGTGATTCTGGTGAGAGAAAGGTGGGAGCAAAAAGCCAGCTTGCAGGCGTGCGTGGAGGCAGGTGAGAGAAAGGTCCAGGCCCAGAAAGCAGCGGCTTGCAGGCGTGCGTGGAGGCTTGCCACTGCTGCAGTGATTATAGAGCAGGCTTGGGACAAGGATCGCCAGCAAGCTGCAGAAAAGATTTCTGGGCACCTAGGGCGGGAGGAAAACATGAAAACTGCACTTGGATGCGGGGAAACTTTCGTGTTTGACCCTGCAGCAGAGGCTTCAAACTTTGGAGCCGAAGTGGCAGGAGCATGCGCAGAGACAATGCACAGACGGATGGATTTGATGCCGGAACCATGGGTGGACCCTACGCAAAACTATTTTTTGGCAGCTTGCTGGGCTTGGGGTGGCCTGGTGTGGAGATGGCTGAATAGTGTCCCTTGTGAAGTGATCAGTTGCGGGAGTTGCGGATGCAACGGAGGTGCAGTCTTGTTGGAAGCAATGCAGGCAAGAGTCATGGGTGAGGGCGCACGATTTTTGATCTTGAAATCCCTTACGGGCGGAGAAGACTTCTGGAGAAGACAAGGTTTTGAACATTTTACTTGGATGAAGTCCGTGTCTTGGTGGCCTGAGTGCTCAGCCGAAGTTCGAAAGGCATTCGTCATTCGTCCAGTTCAAGAACCAGTCGCGCCTCAAAACTTTCGTGAAGAAATTGCCATGGACGGACCCCCAGCCATCGCCTGGGCTGGACATGGTCTGAAGTCCGAGGAGATGAGGAGTCGCGTGGAGATGCACATGGCAGGAGCTGGGAGATGGGCCGACCTCGGTGCCAAGTGCAGCCAATTGCAGCCTGGGGTGGCTTGGAAGCAGCCTTTGAAAAGTGTAGAAAGACATGACGCGACAAAAACTTGAATACAATGACCATATATAGCAGCACCGTTAGGATCCTATTTTGGGTGAAATTCAAGGAGCGAAATGGCGGAAATTTTCCGCCGTTTTTCTTTTGGCATGTGAAATGGGGAAAACGAAGGGAAAACGATAATTACCCTCTGGTAAATTAACAGTTGGACCCTGAAAATCACCCATTTTTAGAGGAAACTAATCTTCAAACCCCTATCTACCAGGGTCTATGTTAATTTATTGGAGGGTAAGTAAAGGCGCAGAGAACGCACAAAAAAAAAATAAGAGGAACTACAGGAAGCTTCATGAAAGCGATAGGTAAGTTGGTTCATATGCAGGTTTACCCGTGGTTTAAACTTTTACATCATCTACAGTTCGATGGGTTTATCAACTCGTAACTTGGGCGGCCCTTTCTGTCACGATTTTCATCCTAGCTACCCTCCAGCAATCAAACATAGCGCTTGGAATTCCTGCAAATACAGTTTATTTTCTGATTAAAGCTTCCATTTATTAAAGAGGTTTTGTTTTTCCATTGCCACGTTTGATTAACACAGTGAACTGGCCCTTTACCAGTAGCCAACTACAACCCCATTTATGTGATGATAACCCGATTTCTGACAGTTGTTAACCATCAAAATCACTGGTTTCCCAGGGTTTTTACTCCTGTTTCTAGCATGTTATAACCATCTAGTCCCATGATTTTTACATCGTTTCCCGTTGATAGATGGTCTGGTTGAACACCAGGGGATGTCAGGATGGCGAGGCGGCTCAAGCAACTCGGTTTTGTGCGATGGGAGCGTTTGGGACTTGTGCAAAGAAACACATTGGATTGAAGATGGGTTTGTCTGAAAAATGTACTTTTACCCGGGAAAATCCCATGTTTAGCCGCAGTTTAGCCCCAGTAATCCCCATGTTGGTAAAAATCCCCACGAATACCCTCTGGTAATTTGTTACATAACAATTAACATGGCACTATAATTGATTTTACCTAGTAAAAAGGGTGATTTTCCATAGCAACTTGAAAAATGTGGGTTTGTCTAACAATGGTGTATACCCCCCAAATGGTACTTTGACTGAGGAAAATGATGATGAATCAATGATGAAGCTATGGATTTCGAGGTACCTCTTTTTTAGACCAACCCAAATGGTGGTTTCTTCAGACATGATAGGGATGGAATAACTTAGGAACCTATGAATTTTTTATATGAAATCCCATGTTTCTATTCGTTCTAACTTAAGATATGAAATGGGAGTAGCCCGAAAAAATCATCCTAGTCATTAGATCATGGTAGTATTGAAATCCATGGTGACTTGAAGTAACACCAGCTAGAAAACTTCCAAATGGGTTTGGATGTAATATGTTAAGTTACAACAGTTAGAAACACTTGGATTATATATGTTTCTAAGTTGTTGATATGGTCCTACGGTTACTCCATCCCTACCAATGTAGGCTGCCTAATAACAACCCACCCTAAACTGTTGTTTTTTTTTTAAGGGTGGGGTCAGCATTCCAATAGTAAATTTGGATCAGATTTCTGGAATCTAAGCTTTTGTTAATGAAAAGTGCTTGCTGTTTTACTTTGCTTTCTCCAAACACCTGAAAACAAAACCAGGGGAAGCACAATTGGAATTCATTATTGCCATGCCTGGTGCAGGTTTATTATTGCTATTCTGGGGCTTGTAAAGGGGATACCCTTTGTGGAACTGTTTTCTTGTTTTTGTTAAATAAGGGTTTTATAAGGAAATCAGCTGTCTGGTAATTGGATCAGATTTCTGGAATCTAAGCTCTGGATACTATACCATGCCCTCTGGACAAGGTCAGACATGAGTTTTTTGGCAATACTAAAATTAAATTAGGCTAATTGACTTTTAGTATTGGAGAAAAACTTGAGTTGGGAAAAACGTTTCTACTATTGCCATGTTGGGTCCACTATTGGCCATGCCCTCTGGACAAGGTCAGAACATGAGTTTTTTGGCAATACTAAAAAATCAAATCAAGCTAATTGACTTTTAGTATTGGAGATAAAACTGGAGTTGGGAAAAAGAAAGTTTCTACTATTGATAATAGATAAGGTATCATTATTGGCTAGACAACATTATTGTATATTATTATGGGATTTAAATGGCTTCGTTTGGCAGTTGAGAACGGATTTTTGTTGTCACCTAAAGTTGCAATGTTGGGGCTACCCCTCATTTTCAGGTAGACCCAACGTTTGCTGAAATGTAGTCCCTAAAAAAGCAGCTTGAAAGATGTGGGTCTGTCTGAAAACGGTGTAACAATGCGACACTTTTACGAGGGAATATGCTGATCTACCAATGGATTCAGATGTAGCCCATTGACAAAGCTATGGGGTGCATGTTGATTTTAATGATGGGCTTCTTCTATCATGTGATCCAACAGTCCAGCCGCCACAAAGGTGCAGCTTGTCTTTGAGCTTGTCTTTAAATGGCCAGCTTGGGACACTGATGCCTAAAAATCAATGTATTTTCAGATATTTTCAGAGTACCTTCAGGGAACCCTGTGATTCAAAAGCAAATGATCCGTGGATTTTCCGATCAATCCATTGATCGTTCCGGGGGCGCGACGACTGAACGACTGAGGTACGGTTCTGGTTCCTGGGATGCAGGGCGGGAACTTCACCAAGTTCCATTACCTAGGGGACCGCAGATGGCTTAGACGATGTTTAGTATGAAGCATCTAAGTATTGGGGTGCCTAATATCGACTCATACCCATATATGCCATATATATATATGCCATATATATATATATACATATAACCATTTATAATGATGTTGATTATTGATGGAATTATCCAACGCTAGCCATAAAGACGGTGTTTAGTAGTGCCAATTAATTTCTATGTTTAACGCATCCATGATTTCTTTTTAGGATGTGCGTTCTGATTTTAGAGATTTAGCCAACAAAGATGGGGATGGAATGAGGATGTATAGTAGCCAACGATATCATTATCTGGATAAACTTTACATATACAATGATGTAGTTGGCTACCATAGTATAATATGATGCTTATATATATATATATCTAACAACCTTACAGTCACGAAACTGTCATGACGGTTAGGTTCTTGACATGATCCAGAAGGATCGCCTTGGGACAGCGACATCGACGTTCGAGGTCAACATGTTGGTGATACTCGAATGTCAATCCTGGAGTCCATGCGCAGCAGGCTGTTGGGTACCAGGATGACCAGCCTACATTGAGATGCCGCCAAGTTGCAATTGGTTTTGGCCGCTGTGGCTGTATGCTGCTAGACTCTCAGTTTGAGCCAGCAGCCGCTTGTGCCTGGCCCAAAGCTCCTGCTGCACACTCATCATGTCTCGCCATTGGTTGGTAGGCACCCCTTCAGGGTCTTTGGCATGTGGCTGCTTTCCCTTCCCACTTGCCACATACATGGCTACACAGGCCCTGGGCCCTTGGTAGTTCTCCTCGCTCTCTGTCTGCGTGAACCAAAGCAGGATGCTGGGGAGCCACGGCAGCGCGACCCTCTTCGTCTTCACTGAGGTGCCCGTCCAGTAGTTTTTCAGCCTTCTTCGTGGTTAGATTGGCAGCAAGTACAAGCAGAACCCTCACATGGCCGAGCTCATCAAAGGACTCAGCCCAAGGAAGCGCCCCGGCACCAGCAACTTGGGATTACTATGACTTATGGCAACCCCCACCACTATTATGGATGATGGTTTCAAAAAGATACAAGAAGCAGAATGCACATTTGCACCCCCAAGAATTCAGCCACGTACAAGTATCTGTATGTCTACATGTATGCATGCATGATGTGGACTCACTGGAAGATCTAGACCACACATGCAATCTGCTGCCACGGAGTGTTCATCATTTTTTTCAAACCGCACTTATCCCCTAAAGTACCAAGCCAAACAACCGTTGTTAGGCATTGTGTCAATCGCAAAGAGTTTAAGCCACCAGTTTTTGTTGGTTCCTGCCAAGTTGGGGGTCTTAAAGATGAAGTACCCCGAACACCCCAAGTCAAATGCATCGTTTTGCTTATCAAACCACTACTAAACCCCAGACTTGTTGGCAGAGGAGTTGGCAATCTCTCCATTTTGGGATGCTGGGATGGGTTGAACTCGACTCGACCCATGTTTGCTGGTGGAAATGCAATGTTTGTTGAGAAACTTCCGTTTTTGATCGTTTTTGCGGTTATCATAGAAACGCAGTGGTTGGAACAACTCAACGGTCGCAGTTCCATCAAAATGTATTGATGCTTGAAACAGGTGAATGGTCCTTTAATATGATGAAACGGTGTCCACGAGGTAATCTATCTATCTATTTATCTATCCATCCATCTATCTATCTATCTTATCTTACCTTATCTTATCTTACCTTATCTTACCTTATCTTACCTTGTCTTATCTTATCTTGTCTTATCTGTCTATCTATATATCTATCGATCTATCGATCGATCTATCTCTATGTATATATATATATATATCTATATCTACCTATCTATCTATCTATCTATCTATCTATCTATCTATCTATCTATCTATCTATCGATCTATCCACCTATCTATCTATCTATCTGTCTATCTATCTATATTGGTTTCTAAATAAATATATATATATATATATGTTATAATATACACAACCTACCTTGGTCAACTGTTTGCTGCCTTTTTTGTTGGGAAAATCACAATGGTTATTGCTTAAATCTACGGCTGTTTGCTGGTGAAATCCACATGTTTGACTCACCCAGGTTCCCAGTGTGGAGCGAACGACTGGTGGATGGTCCTTATGGTGACTTGGGATGGAAAAGTCGGTAGTGACAGTGATTTTTCATGGGATATGTGGGTAAAACCATCCCCCCAAATAACAATTTTTTATAGGTCGTATGGTTACCATTCCCAAATGGGTGGTTTATTAGTGCTTTGCCTACATTAGTGGAGATGTAATGATGATTGAATGTGATCTAGTATCTACCGAATGGGATATGATGGGGATATAATGAAGGTATATGAAGGTCACCTGCCACAAGTTGTATATAAACAGACACTATTGATATGCGGACTCATACATGGAGATTGTATATGGTGATGTTCATGGCGATTTAACCAATCAACCTCCGGTTTCAACAGGAGTATGTCGATACAGTGGATGTTAATTTGACATAATTTGACAAAAAAATAGGGGTATGACCAAGAAAATGGAGGGTTACCCTCTGGTAAACTAACATAACTATGGAAAATCACCATTTTTAATGGGTAAATCAACTATAAATTGCCATTTTCAATAGCAAACCATTAGTTTACCAGAGGGTAACCACTGAAATTATTGAATTGATGGATATCCGATGGATACCTTATCAATGCCCGATCAGAAAGGCTGGTGCTGAGTCACCCCGTTTTTCACCAGCAACATCCAGATTTTACTGGGTCAACCATTGGTGCATTGTTGGTGAATGTGTAAAAATTATTGATGTCCCATAGGGATCACACGTCGGTCTTGTTTTCCGGCTTTCTAAGATTTGAAAATGAGCCGTGTATGGCGGCTGTTCCGCCTAGGCTTTACCCACAAAGATTCCTCACCGCTCATCATGGGCCCTGCTGGCAGTATCTTTGTGTACAGCCGCCTGACGAAAGGAGTCGGAGGGGTCCAGGGGTCCACAGATATTGATGGTGTTGAGATACCTTGGTGGCATTTTTGACCACGTACGTCAGTGTTTCGTTGGGTTGGGGTGGGATGGGGTGGGGCTAATAACGTTCCTTGGCATTTAACATTTTGCTACGCTTGCACATGTGGTTACGCTACACGAACATGGGTCTGATATTACGCTGATAGAAGATGTGCCTACGTTTGCGGATACATATTCTTATAGTTGTTCTTACTTGTATACCAGATGGCGTCTACCGGCGTGTTGAACAGATGTTGGTGTTGAATAGATGTTGCTTATATATGTTGAGTTTATGTTGCATAGATGTTGAGTATGTTGAATTTATGTGGATTATATGTCGGAATTTTGTCGATGTTGAATAGATGTTGGGTATGTGTTGAGTTTATGTGGATTATATGTCGGATTTATATATGTTGATTAGATGTTGAATAGATGTCGGGTATGTGTTGAATTTATGTGGCTTATATGTCGAATAGATGTTGAATAGATGTTGGGTACATTCAATCCAGAATCGAAGCAAATCAGTGAACATTGGAATTATGTTTATCATATGGTGACGTCTGTCGGCGCGCGTTTACGAGACGACCGACCGTTGTTGGTTTATCTTGACCCTATCAAAGACTTAGATATATCTGCCAGAAACCCTACATTTGGATCAGTTTAACACCGACTAGATTGCCCAACAATTGATGATTTCAATATCATAAGATTCCCATAGCATGACAATGTTGAGGTATACAGTATATCCAGTTTTTAGCCACATCTGTGCGTTTGCTGTTGCTGGATGGCACCTGTTTTGGGTACCCAATGCCCAATGGTAGACCAAACCAATACCCAATATTCAGAATGGAAATTCATATGTAAGTTCCCGCAGTCAAGATTTGATCTGAAAGCTCAGGCGCGCGGTTCTAAACATTGTGTTCGACTTTCGATACCTTTGATCGGACTAATCTAGCCTAACTGGTCAATTTTTTTTCCGGATTGAATGCAATCGCATCTAAAATATGTAGGTTTCTCTTCATCAAATGGGGAAACACTGTGATCAATGATGTGACCAGTTCTTTTCTTGGGGGAAAGATTGGATGGGTGGTCTGAGGATATATGGGCCCCAATTCATGAATCGATACGGTACTGAAACAGTGATTCCAAGACAGCATCTAGGTCTTTTTTGGGGAAAGGATGATCATTTGCCATCATACTAGCCCAGATGCTGAACCTACGGAGATTCCCCACATCTATTCGGAAACCAGGTGGAGGAGTTCTGATGAAGATCTCTGATGACCTTTCTTCAGCCAAGAAGGTCATGTCGGTGCGCGAGGAGTTGTGGTTGACCGAACGCACTTTGGCAGTTCCATGCAAAAACAGATGTTGACCACCAAACATTGGGATTTGTAATAATGATGGGAATTATGATAATTGGGATCTATATGGATCTATCAGTTAGTGATCCCAATTATAGATCCCAATGGATAATCATTTTGATGATTGGTATGATAATTGGTAAGCTGTTCTTTTTATCTGCAGTAAATTGGGATTTCACCAAATGGATGTATCTTCAAGGGGTTCACCAAATCATAGCTGGCTCGTGGGACGAGATGTGGCTAAGAAGTTGAATGTGCTAAACTCAAAGCCACAGTCGTCATCCCCAAGTTTACCAAAAAAATGGGCCCCAAAAAAGCATACCCAAATGGAATCCAAATCAAAGAAATCCCATCAAGTTCTACTTGGAATCTCATTCCAGGGATCAGGTCCGATTCCAAATCTATATCCCAAATCTATTCCGATATACCTTGGATGTCCATGAAGTTGCTGAATTCTTTTCGGACGCCGCACCTTTCCGGACGTCATCGGGTCATCGGACGTACCAAGGTGATGAAGGAACTCCTCAGTTTCCAGAGGTTTGTAGCGTCATTGGCGTTCACGACGGCTACCTGCCGCCTGGCCCGTGGTAGCTTCTGTCTCTAAATGGCCAGGTACCTTACATGGCAGTGGAATTTTCCCAAGACACGGGGGATTTCTCCAACAAATAGTGGGATCGTGGAGATACATGGAGATACTGTATTTAAACAAACAACAAAAATGATGTTTGGGTGTCTGAAAATGGTATCCCCAATACATGGCATATCTTTGCTGGGGAAAATGAGAAGATAACCATCATGGCATCCCATCTCCCTTTGAAGATGATCCTGACAGGACATGAAATTTTGCAGCCAAATACATCCAAATACACAATCCATATACCAATCATCAAGTATCATGAGACTGGGATACTTATGATACGTGAATGTGTTTTTGTAGATTTTTGAATGTTCCCAAGCCATCAAAACTGGTTGGTGGTTTGGAACATGAATGGATTAGTTTTCCATATATTGGGAATAATCATCCCAACTGGCTAATATTTTTCAGAGGGGTTGAAACCACCAACCAGAAAAGGTTCAGTAGCAATCAGTTTTCCGCAGCACTGGTCCAGGCTAAGAAAGTCTAGAGGCCTGCACATAGGGGTTATCGGAACATAGGGTTCCACAAAACGTGATGGATGTAATCGCATGTTTCACCAGGATTTTCATTTTGATGGCCAATGTCCTATTTGATGATTGTCAAACATTGATGGTGATCTAACTTACAGGCAACTTTTTATGCTTCATCAAGGATTTCATGATTTGTCACAGTTTTTTCCCCAGTTAGTTTGACCTTTTTTAGACCGGTTGCGAGCCCTTTTCACCATCGATCCCCCATTTTTTTTCAGAACGGCCCCTCATTGGGGGAGTGATTTTTGCTCTAAAAATGGTCAAAAATACTGGTATTTACAGTGTTTTGTGACCAAAGTGGGCTTAAAACCGTTATTTTAGAGCAAAAAATAGAGTTCACCTCCAAAGGCTCTCATATGCTGTCATAAATCACTGGCATTTACAGACTCTTGTGGCAGGATTCAATTTTTCCTGTGAGGCTTGCAAAGAAGTACAAACAATCAGCACATAACAGAAAACATCTGCTGCACAACATGCCATAAGAATGGGTAGCTGCACATCTTGGAACAGAATATACAGTAGCAATAGGTGACTAGTGTGATGGAGGTGATGGAGAAATTCTATTGTTAAAAGCAATTGATATGATATAGGTGTTTCTTCATGAACTTGTTAGATTGATATCATCTTAACATATATTGTATATAGAAGCATTTGCGCTACATAAGAAGTATGGTGGGAAGGGCATACATTATATAGGTGGATATAACACAAGCACATCTAACACTCTGGATAAGAAGGATGGTGGGAATGTTACAACTCAAGAAGTAGGTACATATCTCGTTTATCATTGTTATCTTGCAGAGTCTTGTCAGCAGTCTCATTTCAATAGTTAGACAGAGAGAGAGAGAGAAAGCCTAAGAGACAAAGACGTGTGTCAAGCTGTTGAGTATTAAGGTCAGGCAACCTGTGTGGTGGCATAGCTATTCAAAGACAACGGTATGTTTGCTTCTTTGAAACATATATAAGTTTAAAAGATGGCCAAGATCCAAACATACACAATCTAGAATCACCAAAACCTGCACAGGCATCAAAAAAAAACAAACAAACCAATAGATGCACGAAACCTGCACAAACAAAAAAAAAAAACAAACCACTAGATGCATCAAACCTGCAAAGGCACCAAAAAAAAATAAAAAAAATCCAGGAACTATGGGTCCATCTGAGTAGTTGCTGGAATTTTTGGTGCCTGTCAATGTTTTGTGAAGTCAGAGTCACCAAACCTGCACAGGCACCAAAAAAACCAAAAAAAAACAAACCACTAGATGCACCAAACCTGCACAGGCACCAAAAAAACCAAAAGAATTAAAATTTCCAGGAACTATGGGTCCACTTCTGAGTAGTTGCTGGAATGTTTGTTTTTTTTGGTTTGTTTGGTGCCTGCCGATGTTTGGTGCATCTAGTGGTTTGTTTTTTTTGTTTTTTTTGGTGCCTGTCAATGTTTTGTGAAGTCAGAGTCACCAAACCTGCACAGGCACCAAAAAAAACAAAAAAAACAAACCACTAGATGCACCAAACATCGACAGGCACCAAAAAAACCAAAAAAAACAACAATTCCAGGAACTATGGGTCCACTTCTGAGTAGTTGCTGGAATGTTTGTTTTTTTTGGTTTGTTTGGTGCCTGCCGATGTTTGGTGCATCTAGTGGTTTGTTTGTTTTTTGGTGCCTGTCAATGTTTTGTGAAGTCAGAGTCACCAAACCTGCACAAACACCAAAAAAAACAAACCACTAGATGCACCAAACCTGCACAGGCACCAAAAAAACCAAAAAAACTAAAATTTCCAGGAACTATGGGTCCACTTCTGAGTAGTTGCTGGAATTTTTGTTTTTTTTTGGTTTTTTTGGTGCCTGTCGATGTTTGGTGCATCTAGTGGTTTGGTTTTTTTGGTGCCTGTCAATGTTTTTGTATATCTCATGTCAAGATCATGATGAAAAAAGTGTGTTTTACTAGGGTTTTAGACCCTCCAAATGCATAAAACATCGGTATTTACAGTGTTTTACCATCATTTTTAATGAAATTTCACTCCCCCACGGGGTGCCGCCCTCATTTTTTTTGGGACCAATCACTTGGACCATAGCTTGGGGTCACCCATGACTTAGGAAACCTTCAAATTGCCATATAGCTTTCATACTTGCTATGAGATAATCGGCATGTTCCTGGACATGCCAATAAAAATCGGAGAACGATGAGTATTTTCCCTGTAAAATGTCCATACATAGGATACCCTCCTGTAAACTGACATAGATACGGAGTTTACCCACCATTTGTAGATAAATGTCGTGGTGTACCTTTACTCCCGGGTAATTGCTGCAATGTGGGGCCCCTATTGATAAGTTGGTTTATAAACCCGCCATTGAGTATTTAAAAAACATTGCAGTAATTATAAGATGTTATAAGATGTTATAAAATGCTTTAAGTATCAAGAAACCGAGTTGTTGGAGTTATAGCATCTTAAAAGTTAATATTAAGATAACATCCAAGTTATGTTCTTATTGGTGTTATAACACCCAAGTTATATTGGTCTTAATCAAGATACCAAATATCCCCTGTAACGACGCCAATGCGACGCGAGACTGGTTATACCTAGGTATCGTGTGCTGATCCGGACCGACTGGCGGGAGGAGGTTTTTGGGGGAATTTGCGGTCTGGGGGGTCTGATAGAAAGTAAAAAAAAAAACTAACTAGCAACTAATCCCCCTTTTTTGATGGGGAATATTATAGATTAGGGATTAGATGGGGAAAATGAGGGAATAATCCATAATCACTAGTAATGTCATCATCCCAGCAACATTTCAGCAACCCATCCAGCAACCCTACGTAAAACGCACCAGTAAGAAAACCTAAAGATGCCAAAAGTGTGGGAAAGATGCCAGGAGCGAACCTGAGTTTCGATGAGTTTCGTAAAGATATACCTGTTTTTGATGTTTTTTCAACCTGAGAAGTGAACTGAAGATTTGAAGACTTTTGAAGCCTGTGCAAGGTGTTTCCCCTCACCAGGTCATGCTGGCTTTTGAGCAATCTTTTCTTGTTGAAAGATGTCGAAGGTATCAATTCAATGAATTGTTGCCAGGTGCATCAGTTTAAGATGTTGAAAGATGTTGAACAATGTCGAAGATTAGATTTGAAAGTTCGAACATCAAATAGATGAAACATGAATTATCAACATTTTGTCATTATGTATATATATATATAGTGTTAACACATGTATATATATATATCATATATGAATCTTCAATTGTTGATATTCTGAGTCGTCTCATGTCATGTTGGCAATCCAAGTTGGCAAGTTGCGCAACTGATCAGGTCATCCTGCGACGCCTGAAATGCGAGGCCGGGGGATCTAGTTTTGGGCCAGTACCATGAAGGATAGATTACCCTCTGGGAAACATACAAAAAACTTTAGAAAATCACCATAGAAATAGTGGATTTTCCCATGAAAAATGGTGATTTTCCATAGTTATGTGAACATTTACCAGAGGGTAAAAACCCAGGGATCTAGATCGATGGTAGTTTCAATATCGATGCTAGCACTGAGCTAGCCCAGCTTGCTCTAGAAACCCATACTGAAACTACAATCAATATCTAATTGATGCAGATCGATAGTATTTTTTTATTGTTTTCTGTCTCAAATTTTGGTTGGCATTTGATGTACGTACTTCAAGGAGGAAATTGATTTTCAGAATTTGGAATGTAGTATCAGGGTTGGTGGTTGGCACCGGAGAATGGAATTCAAATGATTGCAAGTCTAATTATATTTGTTAGGCATGATGTCATCTTAAATTAAACAACATCCACACTATTCCATTCCACATTATGATGTGGGTTTGTGCATGAAATTGCAAGATCGCGCGTGAAAAGAATTGAATCATGGTGATTTCATGGGATGAAATCAATCTGTTCATGGTGATACAGTGAAATAACATTGATTATATGGGTGTGTCTGAAAATGGGCAACATCTAAATATGTGGAGGGCGGACCGGACTACAAGGCACCAGACGTACTATAGTATGAAACACCATAATTCCAATCGTATATTTATAATTATTTAGATGTATAGTTAAATAAGTTGAATTCCGTATGTTTCAATGGCCAGGCGGGCCAAGGAAAACCCTCCCGTAGGTAGTCTTAAATACCAGTTAGAATCCAGTTCGTATATTTCAAAATCCGTATATTTACAGTAGATGTAGTTACAGTACAATAGATTCCCCGTTCATGGCCATCGTACCTGCTTGGACACTAATCTTCGTACCTAGACAAAACCATACTCCCAGAAACGGTTGAAGGGAAAGATGAAACCAAAAACCATTGTAATTGGTGGGTCGAAACCCATGGCTTTAACGTTTAAACCAGAATCTTGCCCTAAACCAACTCCAATTTCATGTTTAAGATTGTTTAAAGGCAATGATCATTTCCATATATTAAGGGGAAGAACCCTGGTAGGTGAAACCCAGATTAGATGGTAAAGGGATGTTCATCCCCTGAAGATGATGTTTGTTATAGCCATTGATCCTCAGTCATGCTATAGTCCACAACATTTCCCTTACACCAACCCCCATTTTTATATATTGTTCATACTTGGCTGTTTGCTGCAAACACCAGGTTTGTTGAACCTTAATGAAGGACTAAGTGACTAGGTACAGTACTTGTCCTGGGGAATCTTTCACTCAAACCACACCCAATTCCATGCATTTCACATTTCAAAACCGCATGGTAATCTCAAAATTCACCAGTTAAAAATCATCACTATTTCAGTATAGTTTTAGAACAGATAGAATAAACCATCACTATTTCACTAGGGAGTTTACTAACATCTATTACCTGTTTTTGTCCGACGTGACCATCCGCTGGTCCCCCTCCACCCCCTCCACCACCGGTCCCGCAGGATTCGCTCCGCCAGCCGCGGAGCGTCTTGCGTGAGCGTGCGCCGATGATGTGGCCCGCCATCACAGATGGAAGGATCTTGGTGGATCCTTGGAGAAAGCTGGGGAAAACTCGCCAGAAAGCTGTCGAGGGATTGGTGGTGATTTAGCCCACAACTAGGTGATTTCACAGCTAAGCGCCAGCAAAAGAGGTGGTTTAAGCATGAAACATTGGGGTTTAACTAACAGAAAGTGGAGGATGATAGGATATAATCGGGATATTCACCATACAGTGCTCTATCATATTCTATAAAAATACAAGGCGGTATCCAATGTTGGGTTTATGGCAAATACATTGTGAATCTCTAACAAGTTCACTGTTCACCAACTTGGTACCTGGGAGACGAACCAAAAATTAATGGGACATGCCAACCTTGGAGAAAAGTGTGGTTATTTAGAAATTTAGCAATGACGATAGAAAACGTTCGTTTATATTATATCAACATTAATCAACAAGATTTTGGATCTAAAGCATTTGTTTTGCGATATTCACCACCATGGTCAACAAACATAGAATATAACTGGTTAACATTTATGGTATAGTGTTCTATTGCCTGGTTGATAGATGATATTTACCAAACTTAGTAATACATAAACATAACGTATTAATAACAAAATCCAGAGACACAAAGAACGCACCGAACGCTGGAGGCTATGATCTGGGCCAAGTCTGAGTTTTCGAAGGGGACCTCCGACAACTGATGGTTGCGAAATCCCGAATCACCAGGTGATAGGTGGTAAACGTCCCATGATTCATAGGCTTTCAAGCGTTCAAAATTGGTGGTTTATCGGATTTCGCAAGCATGGTAGTATTTTGTTGGTTGTTGCAGAACTAATTATATTGATGGTAATCCCTAGTATCATCTAGTATCCATATACCAATAACAATTATTGGTTTTGATAAACTATCAATGGCCATTTCAGGAACCTAAATTGGAGGTACCATATATAAGGCCTATTTTTCAAGCCTATTTTTCAGGCCGAAATTTCAGGGAATCTCCCCACAAAATATGGCCTGAAAAATACTAGGTTTACGTACCTCCATCTGTTGGATCCTGAAGATCTCCAATTTTCTACAGTTTGTGGTTTCAAATATGTTTTGTTTTCATTGGGCAACATTTGGCAACCCTAGTTGGGATGATCCTTAAATTTCATTAATCTAGTATTGTTTGAGTGGAAACCAAGCAGCAATCATATATCTGGATGATTAAACTCCAGTAAACATCAGACATTTTTTTTGTTAGATAGATATGTTTTTAGTGATTCAACCCAGCTATTAACTACCCGCCAGTACCTGCCTAGAAACCCTGGTTTAGTGATGGTTTTGTTAATTTTTGGGCACCATATGGGGGTAGTTTAAGGTGATGGGATTTCCCAAACTTAAACACAATTTCCATGAATATCAATTTTGCTCCATGGATGTGAAGCACTATTAGTTGGTCGTTTTTTCTCGTGTTTCAGCTGTATCTTTGAGATACTAATTATACTAGTTGGTTGATATAGGTTTCCCAGACATGGTTTGCTGAATCATATTCCCCCAAAAAACAGGTATTGTAATTCCCATCTCATGAGTACCAATCAAACAAGTATTTTTGATTCCCCTCACAAGCAGCAGATGGCTCCAGCAAGTGATTCAAGCGCCAAAGAAGCCGCTGCTGAAAGATTTGGCACCCCAAATTCCCAAATCTCAATACCACGAGGACGACACTTTCGGATACGGCCTCAGCCATCCGAACGCGTGGGCACCAAGCTTTTCTGCTGTCTCTCGAGACAGTGAGCTGCTCGTGTGGGCCAGGGCCACCCAAACGAAACCATTGGAACATGTTGTTTCTTTTTGAACCGCAGCAAATAAGGACTTGATGGGATTGCTGATCTTTTGTAGCTATAAGTTGGTTTATGACTCGGTGCATTGTAGGGTTGATGAGGAGGATATAACGAACTCATTAGTTAATAAGGTTTTGACACCAAACTATACTGTATTTGGAGGGTCCCATGTTGCGTGTGTGTGTGTATATATGTTTGTATGTGTACATCTATGTATATACACCTACAAACATTGTTGAATAATATTATTTTGCTGTTTACTCATATTTGCTCAATGTCTTTATGTTTATTTAGTTTTGTATTGGTTGTCCGTTGTCCTTGTCTATTTGGTTGTGTATTTATTTGGCGAATTCACCGATTGAATCTTCACAGTACACTGGGGAATCTTTTTCTTCAAATGACGCAGATCTTGAAGATGTCACCCTGTTGGAGGGTGAAGCTCCACGCCTGGTTTACCCTCAGGTAAACAAACATAGCTATTGAAAATGGCCATTTATAGTTGATTTTCCCATTAAAAATTGTGATTTTCCATAGTTATGTTAGTTTACCAGAGGGTACCCTCTGATAATCAAATGTGGCAAGGGGGAATCCTCCATGAATAGAGATTTTCGTGGGGAAATGGTCTATAAATGGTGGATTTTCCAGCCAGCCACGTTTAACAAAACCCCCGGGCATGCTTCAGGTACACACCAACTGTGGCACAGCCGACACCAAAAGCATCTAATTGCAGGATTTGAGTTAGGTGACTTCCATTGGAAGATGATTGTCCAATTTACAAATGGAGGTTTTTCCTCCACGTTCTATTCCCAAAGGGTAGCACATACATTATATATATATAATTATATATATATATATAGAGAGAGAGAGTGTATATATATATATACACCACTACAACCCAATGTTTGGCTGACAAATCCATATATTTTCCCTTAAACAAGCCAGTGATACATGAATTCCCAAGGAGTTTCGAAGTCAGAAGCCAGAAACAACTGAGGTGAAACCCCACTACTATGACGAGAAGTCTCGGGACACGTACCTTGGTTCATATGCCATCTTTGAAGCAGACTCGTTGGGAAGTGGGTCCGGATTTTCCAGATTTTTTTAAAATGGGTTGGGGCCCAAAATAGGTTGGAGTAGGGAAAGTAGGGAATATAATGAAGGGAATACAATGTGGTTAAAACAATAATAAACCATCCCCCAGTCATCACCATGAATTGCTGGTATAAACCATTCCCAGTCATGGAGTAGGCTTCAACTGTTTGATGTTCCTGGAGGCTGGACCCCTCGAGGGGGGGGATTTGCATCAATTTTTGGGATGACGAGCCAAAAGCAATGAGCCTTAAATGGGGGTAGAATAGATATCAAATCAACCAATGTTGCTATGGTGTTTTGCATTGGCACTTTTGTTGGTTTTAGATGCCCAAAAATATGGGTCAAACATGTATGTTCTTCGAGCACAACTGACGGGTGAGCTTTAAGAATCTTAAACATCCAGGAGGGCAAGTGCAAATGTTTTTGTTCAAAGATACCACTTTTGATTGGTTATAAGACTGGTTGGTGGTTTGGAACATGATTTATTTTCCATATTTTATGGGATAATCCTTCCCATTGACTAATATTTTTCAGAGGGGTTAAAACCACCCACCAGAAGAGTTTATACTACCTAACTTGTTGTTGATTGCGATACCCCATCAGTAGGGGAGACCTCTTAGCCAACCAGTATCCCATGATTTTTCACGGCTCAAATAATTCTGAAACCAGATTCATGGTGTCCTAGTGAAAACGTGACTGTCACCATTCCGATGCCGGTACAATGCCCAGCCAGTACAATGAGAGTCTAATTGGGAAAACCACACTGTTTGCACCAAACGTTGACAGCGATTTCTGAATACCGGGCTCCCAGAAATTTATCAGAGTCACTAACTCACCAACAATGAAAAAACAAGTTCCAATTGCCAGGTAGGCTGCCGCCGGTGCATGTCTTGTCACAGTTTCATCACGTATTCGGGGCACCACTTTTCCGAGGTGGGATGGAAATTGCAGGCGCCACAAGCCCAGTTTTTGCGCGTAGATTGAAGCTAGAACTTGTGAGTCTTGTGAGAATACTCTGAAGACAATACTCATTCCAAACTCAATTTTCCAGTTTTTTTGTTTTTTGTCGACATCAACCAGCAGAATATCAAACATACATAAACAATCATAAACATACTATTCTAGACACATATTCCTGGTGATACCCATTTGTCTTGGGGGGTGTAGGCTCTCTCTCTCTCTCTTTTTCTCTCTCTGTGATGTGTTCCCTGGTCCAGCTTGGGGTCTACAACTCAGTGGAAGGCTGAAGCATTCAGTAGGTCGATGGATACCCTCCGATACTTTGTTCACAGTTTGCTATGACAAAGATAGCCAAATTTGAACCCCATTGAGTTCTATGATTTATCCTGTTTTAAGATATCGTTTTCCACAGCTATGCTAAAGTACCAGAGGGTAACCAATAAGAAGCCCAACATGTACATTAGCTAC